ATGGGATTATAGGGCCCTAGATTTTCCATATTTAAAGCCAATTTTTATTACTCATTTTGTCCAATGTAAGCTGCCACGTGTCTCTGTGAATACAGTCTGAGCACAAACCCAGCCAGCTGCCCCTGCCTGCCTCTTTCTTGCTTCTGGTGTTCGAGGGGGTCTTCCTGCTTCTCTGGTCTAGAGAAGTAAGAAAGGATTGGAGGTGGACCTGGTAGGGCTATGAGGGGCTGCCCTTCTAAGTCCCTAGGACAAATCTTAGGGTAGACTTTGCAGGTAGCCTTGGTGTGGCCTTTGGGCTCATCCATTGGTGTTTCTCAGCTTCCTAAATAGGATGGGCCCTGAGGAAGGAAGCCTCCGTTCCCCCTGGGGTGGGATTTGGCTGGTCTACTTTTGAGCTTTTCAAAGCCAAGGTGACCTGCCTTAATGTGAACTTGCAACAGCTTAGGGAGCCAGGTGAGAGCTGCTATTAGGAACACTTGTCTCTGGTCTCCTAACTTGGCCCCCTGTTATGTACCTGGCCCTGGGTTGGTACATGAGACCCATCTCAGTTTTGCCCTTGAAACATTAAATGTGGGTGATAATACTGGAAAGAAGGCCTTCAGGGTTTCTGTAGGTAATGGTTAGCCAGGCTTGAAAGAGAGGCACATGGAGAACAAAAGGGATTGGGGAGAACATTGCAGTGGACCACCTGTGTAAATACTTAGGGGCGAGAGCTGTTTGATTACAAGTTTGTCCCAGACTGCAAACCCATCACTGCTTGGTAGCTTTCCAGTGTCCCCAGCCACCAAGAATACCCTGTAAGATTTGCTTCTTACCTCTGGCCTAAGTACCTAGGGCTGCAGAAGCCACTTGAGCTTTGCAGTTGACAGTTGTGGGTTCAAGTTACAGCCTTGGCAACTTTTCAAGCTGGCTTTGCACAGGCCCTTCCCTTAACTAGGAAGGTGATAGCTATCACCCTGCAGGGCCGCTGGGGCTGTAGCTCAGTGGTAGAGCACTTGCCTAGCGTGCTTGAGATCCTGGGGCCTTTGGTTCAATCCTGAGTCCTGAAGGAAGAGACCAGCAGCTAGTGATCACTTGATCACTGTCAGGACTTCCAGCTAGAGGAATGGGTGCTGGTTACCAAGCTTAGCAACTATCATCAGAGCAGCCAAAAGATGCCCAGCACCAATTCAGCAGAAAGGGCCCCTTTTTGGTTAATGGAGTATTTGCTGGGGTTGCTCTAGGTCTCCCATGGAAAAATGACCATTGCAGGGTGGGAATTGAAACCAGGTGAGAATAAGAAAGCCAGATCATGTTCATGAGGCATGAGGTTAGGGCCTGAGGTGTATTTCTCTTCCTGCACCAGGATCTGCTTGGGGGTGAGATGGGGTAGATAGGAATCAGACCCTTCCCAAGCTCCCCCTTGAGTGAGGAAAGAATCTACAGAACTTGACTAAGGTTAAGCTCACTTGAAATTCTTATAAGAGGAAACTCCCAGAATTCATTTCCCAATAAGCCTTTGCTAAGCTCACCTCTCCACCCAGCTCTTTCGTGGGAACTGGGGGCCCAGATGGAAATGAGGTCCCTGCCAGCTTAGAGCTCAGTCTGGTAGGCAGGCAGACGTGAGAACAGTGACACCTAGTGTGATCAGCACTGCAACAGAGAGGGCTGGGGCTGGGGCTGGGGGGCAACACCAAGCAGGGAAAGCCCTTTGGCCTCGAAGATGTCAGAGTTGGTACTGTCCAGGACACAGGACCATATTGATGGTCTTAGGGCTGCTAGTGGTTTAGAATGGCTGAGCATGGGGCAGGGTGGAAAAAAAGAAGTGGCTGCAGCTAAGGTCAATGCTTTCAAATCTCTCTAGCTTTGAAAGACATGTTAAGGATGTGGGACCTCATCTGGCAGGTGAGGGAATCCCTGAAGGGTTTTCACTGGTTGTGTTGGTTTGTCCCAGTAGCTATAGAAGCACCCCAAGTTTCCCTTGAGGAACCCCTTCTCATTCTGTGTGGCTTAGATGGTGCTGGGCTTGCACTCTTTGCATATAGGTACACTAGACATACCTAGTATGTGTGACCTGGGGAGGAATGGCACTGTCTTCCAGATAACTTGATGTTAAAGGACATAGGGGAGCTCAGACAAGAAGGGCCAGAGGTATTAGTTGCAGACTCCCTTCTCATCAGGAAAGTAGGTGGCAAGAAACACTCATAAGGCATGACTACCAGAAACAAGATGCTAAGCCATTTGTGCTTTGGCGTCATTGAACCAGACTCAGCCCAAGGAGTTCCAATAGCCAGGCTGGAAACCTGCTCAATGTTCAAAGGGGGAACAGAGTACTTGGGTTCAGAGGTGTCCACCATGTTGGTACCCAAAGTGATTGGGCAATGACTTCCTCCAATGGAATCTGGGTGTTCATATCCAAAGAAAAAGGAACAGAAACTGGGTAGCCACTTGGAATACATCCCCTCCCCCAAGGCATGTACTCCTGGATTGGTTCACTGCTGCACACTTGGCCAAACGAATCCAAAAAAAGAATCATTGTGGTGTTTTTGGTTTGCTTGTTTGCTTTTTGCTAGAACTATTGGGAAAAAAAGGGAGTTCTCTTTCCTCTGGGGATGAATAGCAGGATATAAGCCTTGGAGGTCTCCTGACTACTTGGGGACAACTTGTCCTAGAATGATGCAAACAGGAGAAAGTAGATGGCAAGAAACAAATACATGCCCGATGCTGTTACTGAAACAACTAGAATCAATCGTGACCAAATGGAGAATCTAGCCCTTGATTCTCATTTCCAGTTACATGACACAGACCCTGTGGGCTCAAGCCTATATATTTTAGAGTCCTGTCCCTTGAAACCTCAACTCCCAACTGCTATGGTGATGAAGAGTTCTTTTGGTAGATCACCCTAACTGTCATAGAGAAGCTGGAGTAGAAACAGAACTAGGTTAAAAGGCCAGGGCACCCAGATTCATGGTAGCCTCTATCAGGCCACCTCAGGGTGGGGCCCTAGGATCATCTCTTTCTAATGGGGCCAAGGCTATAGACTCAGCACTTGTTCCTCCCCCCCTATGTTTTTTCCTATCAAGCAATTGGTGATGTGCCCTGCTGGGGACATCTCAGGTGTGTAATGAGTGGAGAGGGAGCCACACTGCTCGAACCCCTGCCCAAGGGGCGCGTGTGTGCAGCGCCTGTCATCATGTGGCCAGGACTTGCACGTGTGTGTGCTGTCCAGGTTGAGCTGTGTGCGTGTTGGGGTTCCTGACCTCAGCTGATTGGTTGAACATCCACCGTGTGCGACCCATATGTGCTTTGGGTCTGCTGCCGTGTCCGTGTCCGGCGGGGCAGCCTGTTGCCAGGAGCTGGGTAGCACGTGCATGCTCTGTGCAGGATGCCCTCGGGGATGTGAGTCCAGTGCCCCAGGGCTCTTAGTCTAGGCGCGGCAGGTGGAAACCGCGTCCTTCCCACCCCCTACCCTCTCCTGGCAGCCTCCTCGGCGGCGTGGGGGGGGGGCGGGGGGCCCTCTGCTGGCTGCCGCCCGCGCGCGCGCACGCCAGACTCGGCACGCGCCGTGTACGCGCCCGTGCGCGCGCCCCGCGCCTCCAGCCCTGCGCTGGGAGCCGCTTTCACTGCCACTGTCTGCTCCCCCGGGCCGTCTCGGCTGCCGCCTCCCCCAGGCCGGGGGCTCTGTCCTCTGGGCCTCTCGCTCCAAAGCAGAAGAACGAGCTCGAAGAAGATGCTTGGGCCCGTGAGTACCGCGGCGGCTGCGGGCCGGGCGGGCTCGGAACGCGGGCGGAAGATTGTCCCGGGGATGAGCCCCTCCCCGAGGGCGGCTCTAAGCACTGGCCCGGGTCGCCGCCCAGGACCCGGGCCCGGGGCCGTGGGCAGACCCTCCCCCAGCCAGGACTGGAGGGAGGAAGGGAGGGAGAGCGCCAGTGAGCGAGGGAGCCTGAGCGGGGCGCGAGCCACCACCAGTTCGCTTGGAAACCGTTGCCACAGTAACGGGGTTGCGCTCCCCGGCAACGCGACTGCGGGGTAGCGACGCCCCCTCCCCCCTTCCCCACCCCACCCGGGGCCACAGCCCCCGGCGCTGGGGAGGGAGAGCGGGTGCGCCGTGAGGGGAACGTGGCCCCTCTGGCGGGTCTGGGTGTGCCTGCCTCCACCGCCCGTCGAGGGTGGGGGTGGGGGGCGAAAGGCTCCGTGGGCACGAGCAGGTTCCCACGTGGCTGCAGTCGTCGCAGCAGGGCTCCTAGGGTGGCTGCAAACGTGGGGGCGGCCCAGACCCTGGGCCTGCCGTGGGAGGTGGAGGTATGGAGGCTGGGTCAGGGGTCTCGGTAACCCCTACTCCAGCACCCAGGCCTTCTCGGGTTCCCTCGTGACGGTGGCCTGCCCCGGTGTTGTGTTCCCCAGAGGTGATGTTCCTTATCAGGAGAGAGGAAAGAAGCTGCCAACCCTCCTCCTCCTTATGGCCAGGGCATGTGCCAGACTGCCCATGAATTGACTGTGGGTCTCTGCTCAGTGTTCCTAGCCACCATTCTCCGGGAAGGGGTGGAAGAGGAGTGGGCAGGAGCAGAGGAAAGGACATTGCTGACCCAGGGAAGCTGAAGCCCAGGCCAACTGGAAGCGACCCAGCCCATTGTCTGGACCACAAGTGCCCCTTTCTTGTCTGAGCACAATGCCTCGACTATGCTGGATGGCAATCAGGTTGGCTGGCAGAGACACCAGTGCCACATGGAGGTGCCTGGTCCTCCAGAAGAGCTCCTCTGGGAGGAGAATGGCCGCTGAGTCAGAGGAAATGACCTCTGGCTCCCCT